TCTGTAAGGGCTGTGGGGGGTCTTGGGGGTCTCTGTGAGGGCTGTGTGGGGTGTCTGAGGGCGTCTCTGTGAGGGCTATGTGGGGTGTCTGAGGGGGTCTCTTTGAGGGCTGTCTGGGGTGTCTGAGGGGGTTTCTGTAAGGGCTGTGGGGGGTCTTGGGGGTCTCTGTGAGGGCTGTGTAGGGTGTCTGAGGGGGTCTCTGTGAGGGCTGTGTAGGGTGTCTGAGGGGGTCTCTGTGAGGGCTGTGTAGGGTGTCTGAGGGGGTCTCTGTGAGGGCTGTGTAGGGTGTCTGAGGGGGTCTCTGTGAGGGCTGTGTAGGGTGTCTGAGGGGGTCTCTGTGAGGGCTGTGTAGGGTGTCTGAGGGGGTCTCTGTGAGGGCTGTGTAGGGTGTCTGAGGGGGTCTCTGTGAGGGCTGTGTAGGGTGTCTGAGGGGGTCTCTGTGAGGGCTGTGTAGGGTTATAGGGAACTGAGGGGTCTCTGGTGAAGGTCTGGTGCTGCCTCAGGCTGGTTCCACAGCCTGGCCCCTCAGCCCACTGTTGGTTCCTTGGGGATCTGAGAGGGGTAAAATGCTGGAAAAAGGAGAGAAATGAGGAAAAAACATGAAGTAGGAGGAGAGGTACCCCAGGTGCCATGGGATCTCCATGGGCTGTAGCACGGATGTTTCCAGAAGGAACCCCCAGTCTTCTGCACTCAGGGTTGGGAAAGGGGTTGGCAGTGAAGGAGTCAATTGCATAAAGGGTTGGGCTAGGGGGAAGGTGTGTTAATTTCAGTCTGTTTCTTGTTATTATCTCGTTTAATTGGCTGTAAATCAACTTTCCCTCATTCCAATCTGTTACGGCAGCGAGGAGTGGTGAGTGATGTCCCTGCCTGTATCCTCCCATCCTGCATCCTCTCATCCTGCTCTCGGAGAGCAGCTGGCTGGGCAGCTGGCCCCAGCCAATCCACCACACTTTAACGTGCTTAAATCCAGGCAGAGCTTACGTACTGGTGCAGAAATCTGTCTGTGTGGGTAAGTCACACATGGCAGCACCTGGACAGCAGTTCATGGCTTTGCTCTGTGTCTCCTTTGCCTGGCAAACAGCTGATGTGAAGGGGAAGGGAAATGGCAGGACTAAAGGGGACTCAGGCTTGGGATCGAAGCACTGAGAGACCAACATGTAACAGTGCAGGTGTAGAAGTATTTGGAGCCATGAAGTGAGGGAGGATGGATAAATGGAGCCCTTCAGGATGTTTGAGGTGGGTGGTTTGGTTTACTGTGACTGCTCAGGGAAGTAATGTTCATCATCAAGATTCCAGCCAGGAGGTTTCAGAATAACCACAGTTAGTTCCAGGAAAGACATTCACTGTTTCAAGCTGTGAAAGTTGGGATGGAGAGGGAAATAGTAGCTGTTGCTGGTTGGAAGGGATGACCTGCCTCGTTGGAAAAGGTGAGCTGCCTCTTGCCAGCCCCTCAGAAACATGAACTAGACCTTGCAGCTGGCACTTGTGAATGTGTCTCCTGAGTGTTCCACTCGTAGTAACAAATTTTACACAGAGAAGGCTTTGTTTTTCACAAAAGCTCTGCAGCTCGTGCTGCACTGCTACTCCAGGTAACGAGTTAGCAGCATGTTTTACTTGGGTTCTAAATTAAGATATTCACCTTTCTGCATGCTTGAGTTGTGGGGTTTTTTTTCTGGACAACCTCTTTTCTGGTTTTAATTAGGGTTTGGAGACTTCATCCCCCAAATTAATACCATTGCATCACTGATAATGACATCAGTGGGGAACACAAGCTCTGCCACATTGCTCCCTCTTTTCACAAAAAAAGCAGATTCTTGCCAGTAGGGCTTTGAACTTTGTCATCCGTGTGGAATTGAGAGAGCTACCATTAGGACCTATAGAGATGACAGCATCTCTACTTTTACCTTTGGGCTGTCCAGTACAGACCTGAACAAGGCTGGAGGAAGGATAGTTTTAGACAAAGGGCTGGGATGTTTTTCTTCCTGCTCCCTTAATCATTCTGGGAGTGAAGCTGCTGCATAACCCTGAGCTTCTTAACATGCATCTTACTGCAGATAAGGCAGGAAATAAGGATCCAGTGGATGTGCAAAGTGAATTCATGCATGTGTTCTTTTGAGATCTAGAAAGTGCTTCAAGGTTCTCTCAGTGGTCTGGCTCTGGTGCTTTTCACACTCCAAATATTGTTTATTTTGGAAGAGGTGGACGAGTCTGTCTCAGCTGAGCCCTGGATGTAGTAGTTCTGCACTTGGTTGCTGAAGGAGGGTGAACTGTCAGCCGTTTGACTGCAGGCAAATGATTATGAGTTCTGGTCAACAAAGCCTGAACCAAGTTCCTCTGTGTGCCCTGCACTGCTCCAGCCCCAGCTCCAGCCCCTCTGCATGAAGCTGTTGGATTGCTGACGTTAAAGTGTTCAGGCATCTCTCTCCAGCTCAGCTTTAAAACAACAGTCTCCCTTCAGAAACAAAAATGATGGATGATTCCTTGAGCTCTTGCTAACCTTGGCTGGCAGAAGATGACATTTCTGTCTCTGCTGGGTTTTAGTTCGTTTGTTCCTTTTTTCCTTTGCCTAACCAGCAGAGGCTGTTGCTGTAGATAAGAGATGGTGCAGGGAGCACGTAGCAGAGCCGCAGGGGGGACAGATAGGTTGGAGTTCAGCGTCTCTCCTGTAACACCTCCTGGCAGCACGGTGCTGGGGGGTCATGGAGCAGAGCTGTTCAGCCTGAGTTGGGGTGAAGGAGTCTCTCAAGCGGTGACATCTGTGGCCACTTCAGCTTTTTGATGAGTCACCTAACATGCCCTGGTATTTCAGCCGGTTTTGGCTTTTCCCTCGTGTTGAATGAGGACAGGAGACTTCTGTCAGGTGCTCATAGCCTTAAGGGAAGCCTCTGCAGGCTCCCTGATAACATCTCCCAGCTATGTAGTTGTTTTGCAGTGGGATAAGACTGGGTTTAGGATTCTCTGCAAAGTGCCAGTGGATTTTTGGGCGACTGCACAAATCTGGCAGAAAGGCTTTAGCTGCACAGTGCTCCAAAGGGATGGTTAATTATGTGGAGAAGGGAAGAGGGAAGCACTGAAACCCATGTGTCGGTGCCAGCCATGCTCTGGATCAGCTAAAACAGGTATTTAACCAGTCCTTGGGGCAGTGCTGTCTGACAGGAGGGATTGTGTCCCACCGTGTGAATTTTGCCCACTCACTACTGCGCCTAGTACTGTTTTTAGAAGGGTTAAAATGGAAGTTACTAATTTCAAATAGGAAAAGGTTTTTTTGTGACCTTCCTACAGAGCCTTCCCCTCCTTAGGTGAAAATTGGTTCCTTGACCCAACCTGCGTGTGGTGCAGCTTCTGATGATTGAAGCTCCTAACTCTTTTCAGAACGTAACAGCAATGCCAAGGCAGTGGAGCTGGATTTGCCCAGGATGGGAGGCTGTAGCTGTGTTTCCCTCAGGTAGTTTTGAGTTTTAAACCTGTTTTCCTTCAGGTTGGGATTGATCCTGCTAGCTCAGCAGTAGCATTTGGGTGTTTGTCAGTGCAGAAGATTTGCTGTTTTTCAAGTGTAAAGAGGCAAATTTGTCCTTTGGTTCCCAGCACAAAGAGCTGTTTTAAAGCATGACTTTTGTCGGAACATGCAGCTTCCCACTTGAGGTCAGTTAGAGCTGTTTAATGCCTAGTTCACTTTTCCTGTGAGCTGTGGGAAGCTGAAAATGCCGTTGTGAGGGGGGAAACTGAAATTTACTGATTTTTATTGTGAAACTGAGAGAAATGAAGTGTAAATACAGCACAAAGGAGAGTGAATTTCTAGAGCTGTCAGTGCAGTGACCATCAGGGCCAAAGGTCCTGCTTTCAAGAAAGATTAATTGAAACTGTCCTTGATTTGCATAGCAGGCAAAGGACATGTGAAATCGTAGTTAAATCTTATTTTAAGTAGGTTATTAAAGGCAACCTCATGAAATAGAGAGGTCTGAGCAAATTTGGCAGGGAAATAATTAACAGCCTGGGTTTTGTTTGCAAGCTTTCATTAGAAATGGACTTAAACAAGCCTTCCCTGTGAGGTGCCTTTATAGAAATGTAGTTTTGGCAGCTGTGTGTTAGCAATCAGCAAAGAAAAATATCCCAGCCCAAAGGAATGCCCAAATTGGGCTGCAGCTGTTGAAAATCTGAGGCTAGCCACTGAAATATATACCTCCATGGACAGGTGAGGGCTGGTGCTGTGCCTGGTTCTGTTTCAGAGCTGGGCTCTTTGTGCCCGAGTTGTATTTCACTGTTGGGGAAGGATTAGTCTATGACTTGTATAGTTTACCCTAACAGACTGACTTTAAATCAGTCTGATTGCAGATATTCCTGGACAAATGAGTCCCTTGCTAAGATTGCAGAATGCACAAACCATTCATGCACTTTCTTCTTATTGGTCTGTTGTGGTTTTTTTATAGCTCAGTATTACAATTATTGCTTTTTATCTTGGAACAGTTTGTTCTTCTATGAACAGGCATGTTTACTACTTGTGTCTTAGGGCTTGGCTTCCCTCTGTAAGGACAGGGAAGAAGTCGTGTTGTCATGGAAAACAACCAAAGAGAATGAACCTCTTCATCCACCACTCCAACTCTCCTCCTTGGTTATGCAAAAACGTCTTTTTAACCTTTAAAGACTGATGTTTTTTGTGATTTCTGCATTTTCTATGACTGCATACTAGGCTGAATGGATTGCTTAAAACTGATTAACCATGTAGCTTTAAGATACATATTATGTCAAGGAAAACAAATGACAGCTGTTCTGTGAGAGACTCGGCAATGTGTGTGGAGTGAGGTGTGTGGAGGTGAACTTGGCTGAGCGGGGAAACCCCGTGGGGTGACAGATGGGCAGGGAAGAGGCTGTTCCCGACAGGTGCTCCCGGTTCGGGGCTGGGAGGAGGTGCCTGGCACAGGCACTGGGGAGGGGGCACGGCACCGAGTGCGATCCCGCCAGACTCTAACGTTTGTCCTCCTTGCTGTGCTTGTGTTTTCCAGGTGCACCAGCGGCTGTCTCCTTGGCACAGCGTGCGAGTGGCCTATTGCAGTACCGTGGTGCCCTCTGATGGTGAGTGCAGCCGTGGAGGAGCTCTTGGCTCACTTCAGCTTCACTAACTTCAATCTCGTTCCCTGCCCCCTTTCCTGGTTGAGGCTTTTTGGACTAGGCAGCAATCCAGTATGGAGCTAAGGAAGTGACAGAGAGAACAGAGTCAGGAAGAATTAAGGCAATGGTGAACTTTTCTGATCACTGTCCTTACAGAGCTGGACTGGCTTTACCCAGAGAGATTGGATTGCATGCAGCTGTCCAAAGCTCTTTGCCAGGCTTGTTCCTGAAGTAGCCCTGAGGTCTGTGTGATGTGTACTGTCCTCCCTGCAGGGAGGTGTCACAGACTGGATCTGGGTCTGCTTTGTGGTGTTCAGCAATAGGACAAGAGGTAACAGGCAGACACTGATGCCCAGGAAGTTCCTCCTGGACATGACGGAGAACTTCTTTCCTGTGCAGTCACTGGGCACTGAACAGATTGCCCAGAGATGGTGTGGATTCTCCTCACTGGGGAGATACTCCAGAGCTGTCTGGACACAATCCTGAGCCATGTGCACTGGGATGACCCAGAGGTTGGGCCAGATGTCTCACTGTGGTCCCTTCCAGGCTGCCCCACTCTGCCTCTGCCCTCTGAAATTCCTTTATGTAACCCAAGTGCAGTCCATCCCAGCTACGTGCTGGAGCGGTCAAACCCATCACTTGCTGCAGTGGATAAGTTGTGAAGCCAATGCAATTTTGCTCCTTTATTTAAATTCTGGGACAGCTCAAACATTAAGCTTTTTGATAAGGCTGTCAGAGCATAAAGCAAAAGGATGCACTGGTGGAACTTTCAAAACCTCAGCGTGCCAGAATGCAGAGAGGAAATGAGCAGCAGCTCTGAGCTCTGTCTGCTTAACATCTGCATGCTGGGCACAGAGACTGGTGCTGACTGACACAAGCAGTGAAAGGACCCTCTCCTCATTAAGGCTTGTTAATAAGACCTCAAAGCTAATAAATGAGTTCCAGCACAATCACTTCCCTGTCAGGATAGTGAGTGTGTGCAAGCACAAAGAGAACATGACTGCTGTGGAGAGCTCAGATAAAAACCTAGAGGCTTAAACAGGTACAAGTGTCAGGTTGAGAGGATAATGTCACTGTGTAGCTACTTGCCTAATTTGATTTTTACCTCTCCTCACATTGTGATTGAATATTTCTCTTGTTATTTCTTCCAATAACTTCACCTTTACCAGCAGTAAATGTTCAATGCTAAGTTCTTTGCCCACCCTTTTCTTTTTCACTGAGCTTTGTTTTGACCTCACGTATTGCTTAAGTTGTTCTATGCAAAAATGGAGATCTTAAAAAAAACCGAAACCATGACCTGTTGCTGGTGCGCACAGAATTGAGTCAAATCTTCTTGGTGCTTGCATGGAACTCATCTCAAAGCAACCTCACACTTAATATAGCTTTGTAAAGCTTTTCAAATTCTCCATGGGCTTATTTATCAGCATTCCTGGTTGGGCTGTAGGTGTCTGTAAGTGAAGTACACTTGTGTTGTAATTACTTGTTTTCACTTGTCCCGGGTATTTAAATCCTGGCTTAAAACTGACCATGTGAAGATTAGCCAAAATGTTAGCTCTATAATTAGTGAGGTGCCAAATGCTTTGTCCACTTAGTAAGCTGAGGCTGCCCTGATGCACAGAGTGGTGGGAGCAGTGGAGAGCAGGGCAGGCAGCATATCTCAGGGACTTGTTAATAACTCTTACTGGAGCTGTCTGCTGCTGCCTGAGGTTTGTGTTACTGACATGTCCCTCGAATTGCTTTCTCTTCTTTACTTGCCTCTCTCTCCAATGCAGTAAAAATCTGACCGGAGTTACTTGTGTGGGAGGTGATGAGAGGATCATACTGGAATTATGAACTTTCTCCACCACTGAATTAAGCTAGAAAATGACTTTGACAAGGTTTTTGCAAGGAAAACATAAAGGAGCTGTATTTCCAGACTCACTGACACCATCTTTTGAAGGGAAATAATTGGGTTTTAACACTTCACCTAAGCTGGAAATCCTTGAGAAAGGCTTTGTGTGTGCTATCAATGTTGATGAGGTTAAAATGCAGCAGGGCTGGTGCTGGTAGGCACTTCCTCTAGAGCTGGCATCCTGGAGCTGTGGTTGTGGTGTGGTACCGGTGGAGATACACAGAGAACTGTCAATGCAAACACTGTTCTCCCTCCTGCTCTGCACAGAACTGGCTCAGAGCCTGTGTGACCCAGGTAGCATTTTAAATCATGTTTTCTGTGCCTCGTGGTTATGTAAGTACAGAAGTTTGCTGTAGATGCTGCTCACAGAACCAAGGAATTCAATACTTAAGTGGCTATTTTAAGCTTCTAAACATGTTGATCATTCCTCCTGAGCCTGCTATCACAAGTGTAGCTCATGTTAGTCTATTTCTTACCAGTCTCTCAGATACTTGACTGAAAGAACCCACAAAAATCTGATAGCTGGTGTCACAACAACTGCTGATAAGGAGCTCAAAATTCTGTCTAACTGTCCACACAAATTGGCAGTTTGCTTTATTTCTTTCCAGTAAGTATCTGACTGTTGTCTCTGAGTTCTGAGCTTCAAAACACTAAAGCTACTGAAATCCTGTCAGGTGTCTGAGTCTTGAGAACAGGCATTTATAGGCAGTCAGACGCTGAGCCCTCTTGGGATGCTTTAGCAGGTTTAGGTGTCCATGCTTGGTTGCTTCCACCTAGTCTTTAAGGACTTTAGGGTAGCAATTGCCTGGAACAGGGAAAAATGCTTGATTCAGTTCATGGTGTGTGACAGCAAACTCAAAAGCCCAAGAGAATTCTCATGGATTTGTACAAGTGCACTTGGTACATCCTTTTTTAACATCCATGAGCCCCTGGCAAGGCTTGTCCTGATAGTTCCCTTTGGTAGTTAAAAATAACATGATTTGCCTCTCTTTCTACTCATGTTGAGTTCTGTGACTGACTAGTTTTGCTGTCAGCTGCTCAAATCGCCTTAGCACGTCAATCCATGAGTTCAGTGAGTTTAAGGAGACACGGTGGTTCATGGAGTTGACCCAGGCTACAACAGGTGGGAATACCGAGGCAGATGCAGCGTGGGTGGGTGTGACTGCACCATCCTTGAGACATGGCAAATGCTCTGAGCAGTCCAAAAGACCTTATGGTTTTACATAAGGAAAATACATAGCAATCCCAAGTGAACCATTTTTCTGCTATATCTTAGCAACTACTGCACCTGAGGACAATTTTGTCTGTGATTCAGGCTTAGGGAATATGAACTTGTGTCTTCTCTTCTGTGGATGGATGTCTCAGAGCACATGGAACTGGTTGTCTTCTGGCAGTAAAATAGTAACTAGTCTACAGTTCATGCAGGTCATTGCCATGCATTTTAGCAGGCTGCACTGAAATCCTTACGAATGCTCTTGAAAAAGCTCCTGGCAGCACTAAAGAAATGGAAAATCTAGTTTTATCTGCACAGAAGTCGTGTCTGTCTGGAGAAGTACAAAGCATATTGATCCCATGAATTTTAGATGAAATGACCTTGAAGCTTAAACTGGGAGTGCTGCGTCTTACAACCTCCTGCTCCTCACTGTGCTTGTAAAGATTTGTTGCCTCGGGACAAAGAAGAGGAAACCAGAACTAAACAAGAACAAAAACATTTGAAGTTGGTCCTTCCTTGATGTTTCCTGATATACACAGTCTGCCTTTGTCTCCTGGGCTATAAATCCTCATAAATTGCAGTGGTTTGTCTTAAATAATCTGAAATACTTTGAGTCTCAAAAACCAACTGAAACATACTGTGCTGCCATGTTGTGCCTTTTAGATCTGATGTTGCCTTTAGTATAAACATAATTGTGTTTAGAGTGACTAACTTGTGCTATGTGGAAAAGTACAGAAAACTTACAGATACTGCCAAGTTAATGGGAGGGAAATCCTCTGATATGCCTCAGTTTTTCTTTGATGGACACATTTCTTGATAAAAGATGAACCAAACATTTAGTCTATTTTATATTCAGCACATTCCCGTGTTTGCCTTTGTCCATGGGATGAACAGAGCACTACTATGAGAAAAGCTGTTAATTTTGAATGCTAAACATGTGGTTTCGTGGTTCTGTCTCTGCAGAAGTGACAGTGGTTTACCAGAACGGCTTACCTGTGATTTCCGTGAGCCTCCCGTCCCGGCGCGAGCGCTGCCAGTTCACCCTGAAACCCATCTCAGACTCGGTTGGGGTGTTCCTACAACAGCTGCAAGCAGAGGACCGAGGCATTGATCGGGTTGCAATCTACTCAGCAGGTACTGGTGTTTACAAACTCATTGATTTACTTTCCTGCCAGCTATTTTCTTCCAGCCTTTGAAGTTTGCTGTGGTGTGAGTTCTTCGATGTTCCTGAAAAAGCAGAAGGTAGAAATGCCATTCCCAAGAGTAAGAGTATTGTTGACTGTACCTGTGTAGTCAGGGCTGTCAAGGAAATTGGTCCTAATGGAGGTGGGTTTTGGTGAGTTTTGGTGGGGGCTGCCCCAACCCTGGCAGTGTTCAAAGCCAGGTTGGCTAAAGCCTTGAGCAACCTGCTCTGGTGGGAGGTGTCCCTGCCCAGGGCAGGGGGTTGGCACTGGATGATCTCTAAGGTCCATTTCAACCCCTAACATGCTATGATACTATGATTTCTACTATGTGGTAGGAAAGATGCAAGTTACAATAGAGGTTCTAATTGATTGTAAGGAATTCAGTGTAAGAGGTGATATGAGGGAAACGTGTCCTGCCTTAGCTAAGGAAGTTCAGTCATGTTTCGTGTTTCATCTGTCCTGACAAAGAGTATTGTCTGTGGGAAAGCATGAGCCCAACATCTGGATTTGGGATGGTGTTCCAACTTAGTCATGGCATGTTTAAGTGCATTGTTCCTCTTGCTCAGTGAGTGGTCTGTGTTTGCCTTGCAGATGGCACCCGTGTGGCCTCCTCCACAGGCATAGATCTGCTGCTGCTGGATGACTTCAAACTGATCATTAACGATGTCACGTACCACGTCAGACCACCAAAGAGAGGTAACCCAGCCTGGGTCAATGTCAGTGTTCAGTTCCGTCCTTAATTACAAGCAGCTTTAACAACTTGGCCAAGAACATGAAGTGCTATTTCTAAAGGGAAACCTTGCAGTTGCTAATCCTGCCCTTGGAGTCTAATTTAGTGATACCAGACTAATCAGTAATGAAAAGCAGATATTCATTCTGCTCTAAGCCAGTGCCCTCAGTCCCCCAAGAAGAACAAACAAAGAAATGTAATTTCTTTTAATTTCTAAATTTTTCAAGGTTTTTTTCCTAATAACTCAGAAATAATTTCAGTTAGGGTTTAACTCATTCTGAAGAAGTACAACACAAAATGGGAATTAGATTGGAACTTACATTATCTGGCTTGGAAGAATACATATTTCCTTCCCCTGACAGTTAATGTTGTTTCCATTCAAGTGTGGTACTTCGAATCTTGCAAATAAGCCTCAAACCTTGTTAGCTCACAGCCAGTGAAATAGCCAGGCTATGCTCTTACAAGGTTGTGTTAGGAGGAATCAAATAGGAAGGGAAACCAACCTATTTTAATCAAGAAAAAAATCCATTTCAATAATTGATTTCAATCCATTTCAGTAATATGCTTTGGACATGTGTAATTTTTAAGATGTGAAAACTCAGCAGAAGCTTTTAAGGCACTTCAGAGTTACTGGTGGAGGCAGGAACTTGGTGGTTTTATCTGCCTTCTACTCCTCCTAGGCAGCTTTATAGGCTTCATGAAGCTCTGAGTTCTTGCATGCCTGTACTTAGCTCTGAGCACTGGACAAGAGGGACAGTTTGGGACACATTGCTCTGCTTGTCTGTTGGCTCATAATTGAGGGGGATTGTTGTCTGCTTTTGTTGTAAGAAATACTGTGATTTCTAGAAAGAACTTGTAGCCCTGTAGACAGGCAAACAGATTAGGAAGGATTTATAATCTGACTTGCATGTCTGGTTGGGGTTAGATGTTGGAAATACCATTCCCTGTTTACCTGGGTCTTTTTGCTAAGGTTTGGGCTTTCCTCTCTTCAAGGAGTAGATGATGAACAAAATCTTTCAGAAGGCAAAAGCTGTGAAATGTTAATGATTGTTTCACCATCTTGCCCAGCCAGAACAAGGCTTAAAGCAAGTTATCTATCAAAATTCAGGAGACCAACCATATGGTTGGGTCTGAGGCTGTCCTGGGTGGCTGACTTCTAGGAAGACCTGCTGGTGTATGCCATCTTCTTCTGTAGATGTAGTTCTCTTCCAAGGACCTTTTTGGAAAGGAAAATAGTCAAAATATATTTTAGCATTTAATGTAGCATGAAAAACTGAATAAAAATGTAGCATTTGTTTAGCCTAAAATGTATTTTAGCATTTTATTGTTCACAATGCCAAGTAAAAAAGGGCATTTCTGACTCAGGGAAGCTTTGTCCCTAGGATGTGTGAGACTCTGGAACTGGGAGTGCAGCACTAGGTGAGATGCTGTTTCTCCCCTAAATATGGGGTGGACTGACCTCTGCTAGAGATGATTTTTTCCCATCTCATTAAAAGCACCTTAACAGGATGCTCTCCATTAGGACTGGGTATCTAAATCAGTGGGTATTGCACACACAGAGAAGTTACTCTGCTCTGTCAGCCCTTGTGTGATACACCCATTGTGCACTGACAGGTGTGCTCTGGGATCACCTAGGTTACAGGATGCATTTGCCAAGGAGATTTCTATAGTTAGTTTGTGCTGAAATGAATGTGCCTGCAAACAGGCACTGAGATTAGCTCTATTAGACCTTTACAAGATCACCTTGTGTATTTTGATATGGAGATGCCCAGAACACTGTCATTTTAAATACTAAATACTTCCTGATGGTCACTTCAGTAGGAACAGGTGTATTTTTCTTCCTAGGGGAACAGGAGCCCTTTAACTGGGAGAGGAATATGATGTGTTTTGTGTGCCTTGGCACAAATAACCGAGTCATTTCTTTCCCTTGAGCTGCTGGTGTTAAAACTTAAGCTGTCTCAAATAGCTTTTTGAGTTGGTAAAACCATATTTTGATAACCTCAGGTACAAGCCCAAGGATGATACAAAAATAATTTTAAAAAATAGTTTATTTCTTGGCTAATGTCAAAGTCTTTTGCTCTAACTTGAAACTTGGTGTTTTTCCATCTGGAGTGTGTAACACACCATCACTAGGCACAATTTGTTTGCAAACTGGTGTCCTTTAGGAGTCCTTTTTGTGTTGAAATGCAAGGATAAAGGCAGTTCCAGTTAGTGTCTCTGTCCCTGCATGCCTTGAGGGAGAATTTCACTGCCCTGTAGGCAGCACAAGGGTGTTGCCCACAGGGTATCGGCAAACAATTCTTGGCATTTGCACCCAAAACAATCATCATGAGACTGTGTATGTTGTGGGGTCCCTAACCCTTGACGTTTGGTTGCGTTCATCAAGATTGAGATTCAGATTAGATGTTAGGAAAATTTTCTTCACTGTTAAGGTGTTCAGGCACTGGAATATTGCCCAGGGAGGTGGTGGAGTCACCATCCCTGGAGGTGTTTAAGAGGCATCTGGATCTGGTGCTGGAGGATATGGTTTAGGGGTTCCAGCAGTAACAGGTTAATAGTTGGACTCAGTGGTCTTGGAGGTCTCCTCCAACCTTGATGACTCTGTGATTCTAATGATTGTGGTTACTCATGGTCTGTAGTCTGAATTCTGTGCCCTGACAGCTGCTGTGATAGATCATACCAGTTTAGTTGTTCATTTTGTCTTCTATATAAATATGGATCAGAAGTAGCTGCAGGTATCTGAGAAGCTTAATAGGATGTGTCTCTTTTCCTTGTCCTTATCCAAAGTTAGGAATATCCACTCACAAAGCCTCCTTATCTTTTAAAGGCATCTCATTGTCTTAGAGTGCTGGAGCTCTTCCTTGTTGAAAAAAGTTTTGTCCATTTCCTGTGCAGACTAATAGCGGTTTCTTGAGGTTATGTGAGAGGTCCTGTGGGTACATGTATATAAAGCGGTCTCTGTTTTCTCCTAGAGCTCTTAAGCCATGAAAACGCAACGACGCTGAACGATGTGAAGACATTGGTTCATCAGTTGTACACTGCCCTGAGCATCGAGGAGCACCAGCTGAACAAGGAGAAGGAGCTCATAGGGAGACTAGAGCAATTGAAGGAGCAACTAGCACCACTAGAAAAAGTGAGGAGTTCTTCAGTGTATTTTTCCTATCCTCCACATGCAGCCTTAATTAATTTCAAGGTTTTAATTAGGTCCCTGGCATGCTTCAGACAGTTTGAAGATCACTGAAGCAGAAGACTCACTGTTTACCAAACCATATCTGTTTCTGGTTTCTGTGGAAGTATTTTGTTTTCTTGCTTTAAGTAACTGGAGATGAACTTGGGAGCAAATAAAGACTGGGACTAATGCAACAGAGCATTGCTTGAACATAGAGAAATAAACACATTTGTGAGGCATTCAGAGCATGCTCATATGCATGATGGGAAAGAAGTTTAGGCCTGTCTGCATAATCTAGACTCAAATCATGTTTCAAACCACTTAATGTTGCTAGTAATACAAGGTACTGTTTTTACATTATCTCTTAATGATATTAACGTAACAATTTTTGAGACTACAAGGTTGGACTGAGGGTCTTAGAGGTCTCCTCCAGCCTTGACGATCAGTGATTCTAAGGTGTGTGTTTCTATCTTGTGCAGGTAAGGGCAGGAAAGCAGAGAAGAGGACAACCTTGGTGTTGTGGGGAGGTCTGGCCTATATGGCCACCCAGTTTGGAATTCTGGCCCGCCTCACCTGGTGGGAATACTCTTGGGACATTATGGAACCAGTCACCTACTTCATCACCTATGGTAGTGCCATGGCAATGTATGCTTATTTCGTAATGACCCGCCAGGTAGGACTTGCTGTGGTGACATTGACTCTTCAGTAGAAGACTTGCTTTGGGCTCTGCTCCCTAGAGAAATAGCCAAAATTATGCCTGTTAGGAGCTGCTTTGCCCCTTCCCTATCCTGTTGGAATCTAGGTGCCACATGCTCCATTTGTGCTGCCCGGGGGGTGGTGTGTGGTGGTGGTTGTTGGTTTGCTGGTTGTCCTACCAGAAATGCTTTTATATGTTTGGTGGTCAATTGCTGTAGCTATACAGGTTCATCTGCTGACAGATACAGCCAGAACAGACAGGTATGAGTGCATGAGGTACTCTGAGTTCCAAGGAAACTCACCCCTCTGGCATGCCATGTTGGCCTTTCTAAAGAGACCAAGGTTCAGACATCTGGTTGGAAACGCTTTTCTGGTCCCCCATCCAGATGAGACTCCCTCTCTGGATCCTTGTCATTGTGACAGACTCTGAGTTTTCTAGTACACGGTTTGCCTCATCTCTCCCGTTTTAACTTCCTAATCCCACCTGAATAATGAGGCAGAGAGGGCTCAGGGTCTCTGTTATCACAAGGCCATGAGGACAGATGCTGCAGCTGTTCCAGTGTGGTGTCCCAGGGGTCTGTCAGCTACATCATGTCAGAGGCTGAGGACATGCCTGCTCCTGTCAAGTCTGCTGCAATAGTTTGTGACAGGAGAGGTTGAAACTTCTGCCATGTTTGAACTCAGATTTGATGTTTCAATCATCTCTATCAATTAGGACCTCTTCTGTCAGGCCTCAAAGTCTCAGTGTTTCAGGGATGGAGTGACTCCAAGTGCTGCTGGGTCTGTACCAGGCACAGGGGCTGTG